GTTTGAGTTTTTTTTTTTCCTTTTTCCTTTTTCTCATCTCTTTAATTGGCTGCCAAAACGTTTTTAACATTTGAACTAATGTTTATGACATATATTTGAAATTTAATTCTTGCTTATGCTTTTTATAAAAAAAAAAAATTTAATTGAATAAATAATTTAATTAATAATAATCGGACAATGTTAACTTTTTATTATTATTATTATTATTTTGATTAATTTAATAATTAGAGACTTTAAAATTTTTTAATATTTTATCCAGTATGTGAGACATTATTTAAATCTTGAATTTTTTAAAATAAGTATTTATTATTATAAAATTTAATTATGTAATTCATTAAAGTATTTTTTTAAATTATTTATTTTTATTCTTTTTTTTTACATCTTAGTATAGTATATGTTTATATAAATTAAATATGATGAATTTTATTACAAATTAAAAATTTTACACATAAAATATATTTTTACTTAAAACTATGTTTTTTTAAAGTAAAAAAATTAAGTACTCATTGTAATAGGGTCATATTTTTAAAATTAATAATAATAATAATGGTATAATTATTTTAAGATAATAAATTTTAACAGATTTAATATATTTTTATTTGCACAGGAATAAAATTAATTGTTTAAAAATAATAATAATTATATTTAGTCTACCATTAAGAATTTAATTTTATTAATTTGCCAAATTTTTATTTATCATAATAATTTTAAAATAATAAGATGTAGTATTTAGAGTAAAATTTACTTTAAACAAATGGGACAATAAAAGTAAAAAAAAGAAATTTTGTAAAAAAATTAATATAGTATTTTTTTTTAGTATCATAATATATTTGATAATTTTTAAAAATTAACACAAAGTAAATTTACTAATTAATTTCAATCCTGTAGCATATTTTTCATAAAAATACTAAAGCAAATATAGTAGAAAAATTCACTAAATTATCTAAAAACTATACTTTAACTAAAATTATATTCAAAATTTTTCCTAAAGTATTATTACAATTTCCCTTTAATAATTTTAAAATGCTTTTAAAAAAATTAGTAGTAGTAATGGGACAAATTAATAATAAAACGATAAGTTTTTTAAAATTATTAAATTATAGCAAGCTGATAATTTCATTTTTATAAAGTAAAAATTTACAGATAACTGAGTGCAAATTCAACATAGTACACATTAAATAAGCCATTGTATTTTACATTGTCGGTTAAAGTTTGTAAAGCAGAAGACGCCGTGCTACGTCATAAAGTCGTTGACGAATGAAATGGCTGAATTTGGTGTGACGTCAAAAAATTTCGATCATCTTTTCTCTTTAATGGTGGACAGGGACAAGTTCAAAGGTTTTACAGATAACAATTCCCGATAAATTTGTTTGTTTAAAATAAAAAAAAAACTTCAAAACCATGCTAAACTTATTTAAACAAACTTTTGCTTATAACATAAAGCGGTAAGTTATGATAAATAAATTGTGATATTGAAACATTTACAATCTATTAATGTAGTTACCGCCATCATTAAAGGAACAGAAATCAGATCACCCAAAACATATTGTTATTTCTTACCCGTACTATTTTTCAGTCGCTATTTCAAAACCAATTTTTCCCTAAAATTTCTCATACAATATTTATAGTAATTAAATAAATTTATTATGTCAAACAATAAGTCTTTTTTAAGCTATTTTATAGAAGTAATAATTTATAGTTATTTGAAATTTATAATTTTCCTTTATTCCTTAGGCCTTAGGAGGCCTTTAAACTTTAACTTTTTTAATAGATTTCTTTTATTTCCTATGGAAAAAAATAGCACGTTTTCAGAATGTTATTTTTTTGTGTGCAAAATATAAAATTAATTGACATAGATAAAAGTAGTACTGCTCAGTATAATGATTCTTAAAATGTAATATTGAGTTTGATAAAAATAGGGATTTTAAATTTTGTTAACATTAAATTAGCCTGATAAATTCCTTATTTAAATAGCAAAAGATTTTATTTTCAAATTAAATTATATTATACATTCTTTTTTTTATCATATTAATATCAGGTATCTTTACTGATTTGGAAAAAAATCCTGTTTTATTTTAGGTACAGCTCAAGAAGCTTGTCTTCTGTAATGAAACTACCTAATGTTGAAGATTTTTCTGTGCAGAATGAACCTGTTTTGGGTTGGTATTTTTATGTTTTTTATAAGTTATTCCAGCTTTACTTTCATTTGCAAGGAAAAATTATTTTTTTATAAAATAAAAACACAAAAAAAAATTATCAATAAGATTCAGTATCTTTTTAAAATTGTACAAAGGCAATATGATCAGATAAATTTTAAAACTCTTAGTCTTTATTTAATATGTAAATTTAAAAAAACCCATTTTTTTTTTTTGTCTCAAATAGGATATCTTCCTAATTCTGATGAAAGAAAAGAATTGGAGAAAAAGTTAAAAAAATATTCTGAAAATGTTGAAGAAGTACCAATAGTTATTGGCTGCTCAGAATTGAGAACGAAAAATGTCAAATATCAAGTAATGCCTCATAATTTTAATCATAAAATTGCCAAGTTCTACTACGCAGACAAGGTGAGATTATCGATACAATGTTAGAGTATAAAAATAGATAAGTTTTATTTATTACAATAAGTGTTTATGAATTTATCGCAAGCAAAATTATTAATATGCATTATTTTATTTGTATTTTATTTTATTTTTTTTTCCCCTGATAACTCGCACATTATTCGAAAAAATTTCAATTGAATTATTTTTTAGGAAATGATTGAAAAAGCTATACAAACAGCTGTATGTGCCCAGAAAGAATGGGAATCTAATACAACACTAGAAGAAAGAATTAAAATATGGAATAATGCTGCTCACATGATGGCTACATGTTACAGACAAGACTTAAATGCTGCCACAATGCTAGGTCAATCTAAAACTGTGATTCAAGCTGAAATCGATTCAGCAGCAGAGCTTGTGGATTTTTTCAGGTAAGCAATTTTTAACAATTTTATGCTTAATCAATATATATATCGACTCTAATTTTTAAAGTGATCAAAAAAAAAAAATTTTTTTTTTGTATTATTATATACAAATTATGGGTTTTTCCACTATTGATTTTATCATTAAATTTAATTCATTTATTTTCATCAATAAATTGCGTAAAAATCATGTATGACGTCACATTTTTTATTTTTAATTTTCTTATTCATTGAAAAAAAATTTTACTTATATTATTGTATTCAAGATTTTAAATCTCTACGAATAAAATATTTTAAAAAAATTTTTCGTAAAATATTACCACAATGATATTTTAAAATTGAAATTTCGAATTGAATTTTTTTTTTTTTTTTGCGGCAAACGTTATTTTGAAAAAATTTTTTTTTTATTTTAGATTCAACGCATACTTTCTTAAGGAAGCATTGAAATATCAACCAATTAGCACTGATCCAGACGTAACTCTTAATTCAATGAGATACAGAGGTTTGGAAGGATTTGTTGCTGCTGTTTCTCCTTTCAATTTCACTGCTATCGGTGGAAATTTGGCGTACACTCCAGCTTTAATGGTAAAATTACCAATTAAAAAAAAAAATAAAATCCTACTTTTTTTTGGGGGGGGGGAGGGAGGGCATTTTTAAAACAAATAGAAATTATTCTTAAAATTAAATTTAAAAATTTTTTTTCAGGGTAACAGCGTCCTTTGGAAACCTTCTGATACGGCGTTGTTATCTAATTGGATTATTTTCAAGATATGCAGGGAAGCAGGTGTACCACCCGGTGTAGTAAATTTTGTACCAGCTGATGGACCAGTTTTTGGAGATGCAATCACTGCCAGCAGTCATTTGGCGGGCATCAATTTTACCGGATCTGTACCGTAAGTTTTATAAACTATTTACTCAGCTTAATTTGCTGAAATTAAAAAAAAAAAAAAAAAAAAATAAACAAAGAAGCGTTAAAATAATTAAACGTAAACGTCTAAATACTCTATTAAATATGCTAATGAATGTCACCTTTAGTTTTCGAAAATCCACGGTCAGAATATCACCTTTAATGCGATACATTATTAAAAAAAAAAAAAACTTTTGGCAGGACTTTCAATCGACTTTGGACTCAAGTGGGTCAAAATATTTCCAAATATAAAAACTTTCCACGATTAATCGGAGAATGTGGTGGAAAAAATTATCATTTTGTTCACTGTACCGCTTGCGTACAATCCGTCGTCAATGGAACCATTCGATCCGCTTTTGAATTTTGTGGTCAAAAATGTTCTGCGTGCAGTAGAATGTACGTTCCTGAATCCCTGTGGTGCGATGTAAGTGTCATTAATAATCGTTTTTAAATTTTTAAAAAATTACTGATTGCGATTTAATGTTTTTTTTTTTTTTTTTTTGTATTTTTATTCCTTAGATTAAGCAGGGATTGATCGAAACCCTTAAAAGTCTAAAAATCGGAGAACCGACCGATTTTAAAAATTTTGCTGGGGCTGTTATCGATAAAAAAGCTTACGACAGAATAGTCGGTTATATAAATCATGCCAAAGGAAGTCCTAATTTGGAAATCATAGCAGGAGGAAAACACGATGACAAGTAATTAAATTTTTCTTTTTTTTTTTTTTTTCTTATCTTTTTCAATGCAAAGGTTTACAACGAAAAAAAAAAAAAAAAATTTTTTCAAGTACACGTGAACATTTTTTTTTTTTTTTAAAAAAATATTTAAATGTCTCGTCGTCGTTATTTAATTTTTTTTTGCTTTTTCAAATAAACTTATCATTGAAAAATTTTTTAAATCATTCTGATAAGAGAAATTTTTTAAATTTTTTTTTTTTTTATAATTAGGATTATTCAACGTCTAGTACCAAAGTCGTTAAAAAATTATCACCGATGTAATTTTGAATTATTTACATATAAATGCATAACACAAATGTTTTTTTTTGTTAAAATATTTTCAGAAAAGGATATTTCATTGAGCCGACAATAATCGAAACGAAAGATCCTCAAGACAAAATAATGCACGAAGAAATATTTGGTCCCGTTTTAACCGTTTACGTTTACAAAGACAATTGTCTTGAGCAAACAATGAAACTCGTGAGCGAAACATCGCCATATGCATTGACAGGAGCTGTATTTGCCGAAGACATGTGGGTTTAATTATTGAAAAAAAAATTAAAAAACGTTTTTACTCACGCCATTTGACTAAATTTAATAATTTTATTTTCAGGGATTTTCTTTCATACGCTCTAGAATATTTTAGAAATACAGCTGGAAATTTCTACCTAAATGACAAATCTACTGGTTCCGTTGTTGGACAGCAACCTTTCGGCGGAGCAAGGCTCTCTGGTAAAATAATAAACCTCTTTAAATTGTATTTTTTTAATTCCCCCCCCCCTCGTACCTCCTCGTGATTTTTTTTATTTTAATTATTATTTATTAAATAGGTACCAACGACAAAGCGGGAGGTCCCCATTACGTACTTCGATGGTCATCACCGCAGTCCGTTAAAGAGACATTTGTACCTTTAACAGAAGTAAAATATCCCTACATGAGTGTATAAGCAGTATTTTGTCCCTCATTATTATTGTCATTGGCATTTTTTTTCAAAAAAAAAAAATTCTGTTAAAAAAATCAAAATTAGAATTAATGACAGACGTGTTCCGGTTCATTTCCAAAATTGATTGTTTAAAAAAAAAAAAAAAAAAAATTAATACAAGATATAAGGTGATTAATAATCACACGAAGTAGAATTCATTGTTTTAAAAGTTAATAAAATCTAGTCATGGATTTTAAGAAAATGAACTTGATAAGTTTTTACAGTATTTTAAAATATATTTATAATAATAAAGTCTTAAAGAAAAAAAAGAAAGAAAAAGAAGAAAAAAAAAATTATGAGGTTCTTTTAGTGCATTTTTGTATGTGAACAATTTTTTTTTTTTTTTTTTTTTTTTTTTTTTTTTTGATGTACGGTTGATTATTTTTATTTGTGTATGAATTTATAAAAAAAAAAAAAAAAATTATATGAATTTTCATATGTATATATGTATTAGGATTGAGTCAAATAAAAGCAACTGAATTCTATTTCCATAATAATAATAATAATCGTATTTAAAAAAAAAAAAAACCCTTTTCGTAAATCATGGGTAATTTTAAATGTAAATAAAGGATGTATTAAATTATCATAAGAAAGACAATAAATTAAACTAGTAAGAACAAATAATAATAATAATAATAATAATAATAATTGTTATTTATTTATAATTTTGTTTTTAGTTTTTTTCTTTTTTTTCGCATTTGTTTGTAACAATAATAGTAATTATTATTTTTTTTTTTTTTCAGTAATAGAAAAATTTAATAAAAAAGTAAATTAAATATGAAGTGATATTAATAAATTATTAACCTTAATAAAAAAAAAAAAAAAATCCTTTGAATCCCCTCAACAAATAAATTTAATAACATTTAGTGTGTTTTTCTATTCGTGTAAAGTGTCATAGAAATTTCAAAAATTTAATAAATAAGAATAATATTAATAAAATAATTGAAGAAAATAAATTTGTTTTATTTATGTGAAATTCGTAAATTATTTTTTTTCAATAAGATGATTGTTAAATTTTAATTCGGATCAGTGAACGGAGATGATGTATTATTTGGTAATACAGAAAGCAAGTTTTATTTTAAGAAGATAATAAAGTATTAAAAGCTAAGTATAAACAATCGAGACCATTTTAGTTTAATATTAATCTTGACAGGATTTTTTTTTTTTTTCCACACTTGCCAACTTGCTAAAAATGTGGCAACTTTTGTTTTTGTCGCCTTTTCTAACGCTTTACACGAAATCCTAAAGCCACTCTCTTAATACTTGATTAGTTTTTAGAGAAAAAAAAATTAGTTTTCTTTTTTTTTTTTTTCAATTAGTCGATGAGTTAACGCGTAAAAATGATTATAACGTGATTTAATTAGTAATTTTATTATTTTAAGTGTTATTATATAAAAGTTTTAATCCTTTTTTGTTTTTGGGTTCATTTTAAAATTGAAATTTGAATGTATTCATCATTGGCAAATTTAATAAAATAATAAAAGGTAAAATTATAATTATTTTATTAATAAATTTTTACAATTTTCTTCGGTTTTAATTTACGAAAACTTTTTTTAATTACTCATCGTTTTACTATTAAAAATTTATACATACATAATTTTTTTTTGCTTAATTAAAATATAAAAAGTTTTTACATAGTTAAAACTTGAATTTTTTATAACCTATATTTTATTTTTTTAATGAGATAATTTTAATTTTTTTTTTTTTTTACCAAGTTTTAATAATCAATTATTAAACGCTGTTTACGATAAAATATATATTAATTAAAAAACAATAATTATTACAAATTGAATTTTTTTTATCATTATTATTATTAGAGAATTTAATTATTTTCATGAGATGAAAATAAAAATGTCATTTATTAATTAATAATGGGATTAAATTTTAAGATAATTATTTTAATTATTTAATATTAATTTACATTTTTCAAAAGATTTATTTATCAATATTTTTTTTTTTCTTTGACATTTTATTTAATTTCTCATTGATAATATAATAATATTAGGAATTTTTTATTTGTACAGACTGAGTTCCCTTTTTTTTTTTGAAAAATTAAAGTAATACTTTTAATTTAATTTTAATCTGTCGATTATTTGTCTTTATTTATTTTTACTATATATTTATAGTATAGAATATAACTTGGGATTTTTTTTTTCCTTTCTTAATATAACAATTATATAATAATTATAGATTTTTTTTAATCTTATTGCAAATCGTATGTAAACCACTTTTAAAAAAAATATTAATTAATAATTTTTTAAAAATATCGTATAATTAATGTTACTGCATGTGTAACTTTAGTAAAATATAATTTTGTAAAATTTTATTCTAGAATTAATGAAAAGAGTAAATAAAAAATGATATATTAATTTTCATTTAAAATTTTGTCGCCTTATTTGTTCCTGTTGCAAACGATATTAAATTTTTTTATTAATCGTACAAAAGCATGAAACAAAGTGCAAAAAAATTTAAATACATTTAAGTCATGATTACAATTCAAAAAATTGTAATGAGATTATCATCTGTATGAAAAGTCAAAAAAAAAAAAAAAATTATATCTTTGAGTAGTTGTTATCAAAATTATTATTATTATTATTATTGAATATCAAGGATGACTGCCCACTTTTCAAAATCGAATTCTCATGCGAAAAGTGGATCTTCAGTTTTTATCGTTCAGTTTTTTGTTTTCTTTTTTATAGTTATTTTGTTTGTTAATTCAAATTAATTTTATAAAGTATTTTTTATTTTTATAATAATTTATAATATGGAAAATTAACTTTTATTTTTTTTTACATCATTGGTATAATTGATTTATGTGAAGTAAGTGTTGTTATTTTAAATTAAATTGTATTATTTTTTTAAATTTTAAGATTTTTAAATTGAAATATTTATTTAATTTTAATTTATACAAGTCGAATTAATTTTCTTAATTATTTCCTTGTTGTGACATAATAATAATTAAGGTACTAA